GTTTTGGCAACACAACACTGACTGACATTCTTCAGAGATATGAGGCCATCCTGTCTATCGACAGAGACTCCACTGTAAGAGAATGGATGCTTTTAAAGCAAGCAGGAAAACGTTTGGCAGCGTTCTCTGTGTATGACTTGGTCAACATAGTGAAGACAAGCAATCCAGAAAGATACTCCAACATTCAGAAAGTCCTGCTGTTGTCCCTTACACTGCCCTTGAGCAGTGCTTCATGTGAGAGGGGATTTTCACATCTTAATATAATAAAAAGCAAGTTCAGATCCTGCCTGTCAGACTCGCGCCTCTCATCCCTGATGCACATCCACTTGTCTAAGATGACAACAGAGACTTTCGACCCAAAACCAGCTGTTGACTTGTGGATGCAAGCAGCTAATCGCAGACTCAACCAGAGAGAAAGAAGTAGGCCTACATCATCAGCTACCATGTCTGACAGAGAGGAAGACAGTGAGGAGAACAGTCAGGAGGGTAGTGATGACAGCTTGTAGTATTACTGGTCGTGCTAATGTTGTCTTGTGTTCACCTCTGCATGTGTGTTCTGTGTTCACCTCTGCATGTGTGTTCTGTGTTCACCTCTGCATGTGTGTTCAGTGTTCACCTCTGCATGTGTGTTCTGTGTTCACCTCTGTGTGTGTGTGTATTCACCTCTGCATGTGTGTTCAGTGTTCACCTCTGCATGTGTGTTCTGTGTTCACCTCTGCATGTGTGTTCAGTGCTCACCTCTGCATGTGTGTTCTGTGTTCACCTCTGCATGTGTGTTCTGTGTTCACCTCTGCATGTGTGTTCAGTGTTCACCTCTGCATGTGTGTTCTGTGCTCACCTCTGCATGTGTGTTCTGTGTTCACCTCTGCATGTGTGTTCTGTGCTCACCTCTGCATGTGTGTTCAGTGTTCACCTCTGCATGTGTGTTCTGTGCTCACCTCTGCATGTGTGTTCAGTGCTCACCTCTGCATGTGTGTTCTGTGTTCACCTCTGTATGTGTGTTCTGTGTTCACCTCTGCATGTGTGTTCTGTGTTCACCTCTGCATGTGTGTTCTGTGTTCACCTCTGTATGTGTGTTCTGTGTTCACCTCTGTATGTGTGTTCTGTGTTCACCTCTGCATGTGTGTTCTGTGTTCACCTCTGTATGTGTGTTCAGTGCTCACCTCTGCATGTGTGTTCTGTGTTCACCTCTGCATGTGTGTTCTGTGCTCACCTCTGCATGTGTGTTCAGTGTTCACCTCTGCATGTGTGTTCTGTGTTCACCTCTGCATGTGTGTTCTGTGTTCACCTCTGCATGTGTGTTCAGTGCTCACCTCTGCATGTGTGTTCAGTGTTCACCTCTGCATGTGTGTTCTGTGTTCACCTCTGCATGTGTGTTCAGTGCTCACCTCTGCATGTGTGTTCTGTGCTCACCTCTGCATGTGTGTTCAGTGTTCACTTCTGTATGTGTGTTCAGTGTTCACCTCTGCATGTGTGTTCAGTGTTCACCTCTGCATGTGTGTTCTGTGTTCACCTCTGCATGTGTGTTCAGTGTTCACCTCTGCATGTGTGGTCTGTGTTCACCTCTGCATGTGTGTTCAGTGTTCACCTCTGCATGTGTGTTCTGTGTTCACCTCTGCATGTGTGTTCTGTGTTCACCTCTGCATGTGTGTTCTGTGCTCACCTCTGCATGTGTGTTCAGTGTTCACTTCTGTATGTGTGTTCAGTGTTCACCTCTGCATGTGTGTTCAGTGTTCACCTCTGCATGTGTGTTCTGTGTTCACCTCTGCATGTGTGTTCTGTGTTCACCTCTGCATGTGTGTTCAGTGTTCACCTCTGCATGTGTGTTCTGTGTTCACCTCTGCATGTGTGTTCTGTGTTCACCTCTGCATGTGTGTTCAGTGTTCACCTCTGCATGTGTGTTCTGTGTGCACCTCTGCATGTGTGTTCTGTGTTCACCTCTGCATGTGTGTTCTGTGTTCACCTCTGCATGTGTGTTCAGTGTTCACCTCTGCATGTGTGGTCTGTGTTCACCTCTGCATGTGTGTTCAGTGTTCACCTCTGCATGTGTGTTCTGTGTTCACCTCTGCATGTGTGTTCAGTGTTCACCTCTGCATGTGTGTTCAGTGTTCACCTCTGCATGTGTGTTCTGTGTTCACCTCTGCATGTTCTGTGCTCACCTCTGCATGTGTGTTCAGTGCTCACCACTGCATGTGTGTTCAGTGCTCACCTCTGCATGTGTGTTCTGTGTTCACCTCTGCATGTTCTGTGTTCACCTCTGCATGTGTGTTCAGTGCCGTGTGTCTGGCAAATAAAGTCAAGACCCCCTCAAAAGTTACGGTTTATTTCATTTTAAGGATGAGCACCAAGCAACATCTCCAGGTGCTCCTTTGAGAACCAGGGCAAACAAGTTATGTGCACCCCTGCCTATAAGGGCATTAATGGGAGCAATTTTTTTAAGTAACTACAAAGTTACTTTTCACAGTAACGCATTACTTTTTGGTGTAAGTAATCAGTAAAGTAACTGAGTTACTTTTGAAATGAAGTAACTAGTAATGATAACTAGTTACTGGTTTTCAGTAACTAGCACAACACTGATAATGACTAATAAAGAGCCAATATACTGCTAATATACATGTTAATTATCAACTAGTTGATGGTGATGGTGAAAGTGTTTATGATGCGCCAGCGGACGTCATGAATGTGCGTCTGCTGCTGTGGGGAAACTATGGAAACTACAGTTTTCTATACAGCGGACTACAACATGGATGTTTAATAAGAAGGAGGGACTACTGTAAACTCATCCAGAGACTCTCCACCGTGCTCTGATGCTGTTGCTTTATGCTTTATGAACGTGGACAACAGAGAAACATATTCTTCATGACCAAAGTTGGAATTGAAATAAACAAGTAAAGTGAAACTTATGCTCGTCACCCTCTCCCTCCGGTCCACATTAATACAAATGATCCCAATACGTATGATTGTATGAAAAGATCTTAAAATCAATACAAATGTATTTATTATAAACGTTAGTCCTTAACATCTATCACTGTGTATATCACCATTCAAACATCTTTTAAAAGTTGAACAAACCCCACACAGCTCAGTAAAGACTGTGAAATGTTGACTTTATTTGATCATTTCAGTAAAAACTAACGTTCATATTTCTCTTTTTGATTATAATACTGATGAACGTTCAGAAAAAAGCACTTTGGCAACTTACCACATACGTTTTAAAATGCGTAATAAGCACCGTAACTTTCATGATATCATTTCTCGGTCATAATCGGTTGTTTCCATGACATACATAAGTGTCCTACACTAATAATACAAAGTTATTATTAGTATGCTGTGTGTACCTTGTGTGCACCGCCTAGTGGTTAAAGCACGTTATTTAATTATTTTTGTTGAATAATGTTATTTTTGTTGAATAATGTTATTTGATGAAAAAAATATTAAGAGTACATACTTTCAGAGGGGGAAAGTAGAAGGTCAATGATAGAAATATAGAATATAAAAAATCAAGAAGATACTGTAAGTGATCTCTACAATAAAACAGTTTAGTGCCGGATGTACAAAGATATTAATATGAGGATGTGCAAAACAGACAAACTAATTAACCTTTATTAACACATTAAAGAATACTTTAGGTTAAGGTCTTCTTTTAAATAAGAAAAAAGCTTTGGGGATATCTATCTACAGATAAATATTAAGCCTGACAAAGTACTTAACGTCTAATATATTGCTTTCCTGCAATGTTAACTATGTTGAAGCACTTATTTTAACTGATATTATACACATTAATTATACTCTCATGTATGTAGATAGTATAATACATGTGCAGAATATGACAGTTTAATGGTGGAGGTACACACATATTGATAGATGTCTTGTAATGCACTGTTGAGGCAATGCACTGTGACCCAAGTTTTTCATTCATTGCATAACTACACCGTAGTTGTGTATATGATATGTCAATAAACCTTTGAAAATCTTGAAATCTTGAAAGGGATGTGCAAAATATCAATTATATAGAGTTTTTAATTAACTATTAGTAGAGAATAACGAGTAATGAATATATTTTATAGAGATCTGCAGATAAATGTTTAGTCTTCTCAAGCACCAACTATCAAATATCTCTCCTGATTGTTGGCACTTGACAATCACCTACCCTGAATTTTACTCAGGTGTAACTAAAGTCTGATTTAAGGGTTGTTTATATTTCACATAATTAATCAGAATCTGCAAAGTAACTCAAATAAATGTAGTGGAGTAAAAATACCAGGTTAACCTCTGAATTGTAGTGGAGTAGAATTACAAAGTAACAATGAGCTGTCATGTGGGTATATATTAATGCTGCACATCATGGACACAAGCGAATTTCACCCATTTATTAATTATATGTTTTACATTTGATAACACCAATGTGTTTAATACTGGCAACTTCTAATTGTGGGAAAAACGAAAACGTTCAGTAGAGACGTTCCATAGAACATTTTGCGAAACCCAATAGCCAGCATGTGTAGTTCCAAAATGTTTTTCGGATTTCATATCGCATTAACACCATATCCCAACGTGCATTGCGGCTAAAACATCCAATCACCGAGCTTAAACCATAGCTGAGGATCTTGGGTAATCAGTTCAGTGGCTGTGTATACGTCTGTTTCCGGTTATTTTATTTAGAAAATGATGTTCCTGGTCACCATTTGCCTCTGAGAAACCTTTAATGATAAAAATAAACGAGACCTCGCCTCCAAGGGTAAAATCATATTAACGTCGATGATCCTTCAGCACTATCATTAAGAATAATTAGCATGTGTCCAACATTTTTGTTCACAACTAAATACCTGCAAAATAATGGAAAACTGACTATTTGTAATACTAATAAGAAAATCAAACAATACTAACACAGTAAACTTGAACCTGATAAAATATAACTGCTGAACATCAGTATAAGCATAACCATTGTTAGCATTTAGCATGTAGGTATCCACACACTCACACACACACGTGTTACTTACGTGTGTTGCTCGGCTGTGAGTCCATAGGAATCATCATTTTGCCTCGTGTTCCCCTCCTGCCGGCCAGCGAGCGGTCCAGGGTGGAGATACAGCTGGAGGCCTCGTCTCCGTCAGCTCCTGCAACATCCACACATTCACATATTCAAACAGGGATTCAAATATTTGCTCTCCGTCATTTAAACTGTTAAACGAGAATTTAAAATGAGTTCCACCGACTCATTTTCTACTGGGAGAAAGTCACTTAAAACACTCATGATCAATCAGGCTTCATTTTACAGCTATGTAAAAAAGATAAAGTATCATAATTATCAAATAAAACAGCTTTACAAAAGTGAATAACTGTTATTTACATAAAATATATGTGAATTAATAAATGCATGAATCAGCATCCTTCTTGTACCTGAGTGGCTGCTCTTACTGCCCATCTGGCTCTCTGATTGGCTGTGTGCCACTTGGGGGAGGTCCTGGCAGGACTGGATGGGCGAATCACGTCCGGACGGAGCGATGCTCGGAGCTTTCTCCATGTTCTTCATCTCCATCTCCTCATGGTGGATCCACAGGTCAGGGGGCCGCAGGTCCTTCTGGCTGCCTTTCCTCTTGCTGGCACTGTGGCTCGCTCTCTTCCTGCACAGAGGACGAGATAGGTGAGGAAGGGAGGTAAACATGTGAGGAAGGGAGGTAAACATGTGTAAACATGTGAGGAAGGGAAGTAAACGTGTGAGGAAGCGAGGTAAACATGTGAGGGAGCGAGGTAAACGTGAGGAAGAACAGGAGACAGACCAATGTAAATGGACAACACAGTGTATTATGGGTGGAATGCTTATACAGTCATGTTACAAAGCAAACATCTAAATTCCAGCAGAGCATGAAGGCACCATGACAGAAACATCAGAGTGCAGCCTGGCTCATGTTTACTGCATTCACAGAAAACACAGCAGCAGACAGGTATTGGTGCATGGAGAGGTGGGGTCTGATCTGTTGTGCTGCAACAAACCTATTAGATTTGTTGAGGTACATTATAAAATATCACTAACCTAAATCATATCATCTAAAACCAGTCAAACCAGATTGCAATAAAATACCTATTGAAACGCCATGAACTGGATTCAAAGATGAAACAGCGGTGACATTTGACAAATAGGATTATGAAATGTCTTGAATTGGATTATAAAATAATACTGCCTGAAAGAACATGAACTGGATTATGCAATAGTACTGTCTGAAATATCAGGAACTGGAATGAACAAACCTGAAATTTGAATAATGGGATTATGAGATGTCATGAAACGGATTACAGAATAATACCTCTACAACAGGATAATACAATAGTACTGTCTGAAACAATATGAACCACATAATAACATATCATCTCTACCTTCATGAACCTGATTATACAAATACTACCATCTGAAATGTGATGAACCAGCATCTTAAATACAACAGATCATGTATCATGTATTTACATTTCCTCTCTGCATAGTAGCTTTGTTTTGGTTCTGGGTGATGGTGTTGTATTTTTGATAAAGAGGCTGCTAAAAGGTGTTGCAAAACCAACCAGGACAGAAAATTAAAAGAATTGTAATTGAGTTTGTGATATAATAGGCGTATGGTGCAGTGGGTTGTGAGTTGGTATTCGGATCAGGAGGTCACAGGTTCAAACCCCACTGCAGTCAGCATGTCGTTGTGTCCCTGAGACACTTCACCCCAAATTGCTCCTGTGGGGATTGCCCACAGTATAGAGTATGTAAGTCGCTTTGGATAAAAGCGTCTAACAAGTGACATGTAATAATATATGTAAAGGACATTGTAAAATGTGAAATAATGCTTATACGATATGTATATAATACGATTACACAACAACAATGACTGAAACCTGATGAATGCGATTGAAATGAAATAAATGAACCAGATGTAATTAGCCACTTAGGTCAGGTCCATCAGGTGTAAGTAAAACAGCATTAGAGATTTGATTTGAACACAGGTTCAGACCGGTTCGGGCCTCTTACTTCCTCTGCTGGGCGGAGGAGTGCCGGGTGCAGATGAGGGCCACGATGACCACCACCACCACAGTGATGGCCCCCACCGACACCACGATGATCACCAGCAGGTTACTGTTCTTCTGAGGCGTGGCGCTGCCGTGGGGGGGGCGCATCTGACCAATGGGAGAATCTGTTAGGTGCAAAAGACAAGAAGGTCAAATGAAATATTAAACTTTAACTTTTGCAAACCATTGTTCATATAGTCAACTTCATAACAGTTGACTTGGACATTTGTGGAACGAAAACCAAACACTTTTGAATGATTACCATGCAGTTGACAAAATACCTTGAATTTCAATCTTTTTATTTCACAATTGCTATTTAGAATTATAATTCAAATGTTGTCATAGTTTATATTTGCATGTACGCAGAAGTTGCTTTGTTATGAAAGCCGACATAGGCTATGTTATAATGACATAAAGACTCAAGATGTAAGTGAGTTATTGTGTATAAAACTCAACTGTTATTTGAATCCCAGAACAAAAACTGAAAAATAAATATAGGTATTTCTCTCTCAAATCTCCATGATGCTGTTCATTCTCTGTATCTCAGTGTTTCATTAAAGTGTACAGTACATATGCAATAGGAAAGAAATGATTTCATACATATTTCTGTTTTTAAACATTAGTGATTTAACAACAAGGAACATTTAAGAAAGCCTGGCATGAAAATACAATGCTTCTGCTACCAGTCAATACACAGTGTGTGTGTGTGTGTGTGTGTGTGTGTGTGTGTGTGTGTGTGTGTGTGTGTGTGTGTGTGTGTGTGTGTGTGTGTGTGTGTGTGTGTGTGTGTGTGTGTGTGTGTGTGTGTGTGTCAGGTGTAAAGGGAGAGAGGGGATTGATGACATGCTCTGTCATTCATTAACTGACCTTGGAGCAGAGAGAGAGAAAATGGGAAACAAAGGGGGAGCATGAAGTCTGGTGAGGAGAGGAGAGAGTGTGAAGAGAGAGGAAGAGAGATGGGGGGGTGATAGATGAGAGAAAGAGAAAGGGCATGACGGCATTCTGAAGAAAGGAGAGAGGCAGAAGATGGTTGAAAATCTGATGAAGGAAAATATGTGAGAGGTACTTTACCTCCCTCACCTCTCTCCCCTTCTCTGCGCTCAGTGGTCTCTCTCAATGAGAAGCACAATCCATCACACTGCAGCCGCACCATTTCTCTTTCCCTGCTTTTAGTTAGATTTGATCCTCCTTTCCTTTTTTTAGAAAAAATAAGTTTCATGACTTTTCTAACAGAACTCTGGCCCTTTGCTACAGCCTTTAAGGTGCTGAGAAAGGTCCTCAGCTCATTCCAATGTGGGGGGTTCTACCTCTGGGGAGGGGATACGATTCAATCTAACTGGCAGTTGTTGAGATATCAGTACGAGAACAACACGCTGCCTCCATATACTGTACACCCCCCCAGCAGGATCAGTTACCCCAGGTGGGGAAAGTACTCAGATCTTGTACTTTAGTAAAAGTAGAAGTACTCAGATCTTGTACTTTAGTAAAAGTAGAAGTACTCAGATCTTATACTTGAGTAAAAGTAGAAGTACTCAGATCTTGTACTTTAGTAAAAGTAGAAGTACTCAGATCTTGTACTTGAGTAAAAGTAGAAGTACTCAGATCCTATACTTGAGTAAAAGTAGAAGTACTCAGATCTGGTACTTGAGTAAAAGTAGAAGTACCAGAGTGTAGGAATACTCTGTTACAGTAAAAGTCCTGCATTCAAAATGTTCCTCAAGTGAAAGTAGAAAAGTATTCTCATCAAAATATAGTGAAAGTAGTGACAGTAAAAGTAGTCGTTGTGCAGATTGGTCCATTTCAGAATAATATATATGATATGTTTTATAATGATTGATCATTAAAGTGTTCTCAAAGCTGGTAAAGGTGCAGCTAGTTTGAATGACTTTGTATACTGCAGGGTAGCTTGTGGATTTACTCCAGGTGGAACTAAAGTCTGATTTAACACTTGATTATATTTCACATCATTCATCCACATCTGTGAAGTAACTAAAGGTATTAGATACATGTAGTGGAGTAGAAGTACACCATTTACTTCTGAATTGCAGTGGAGTAGAAGTACACAGTATAAACAAATTCAAATATTCAAGTAAAGAATGGGTACCTCAAAATGAGCAAATGTACTTAGTTACTTTACACCACTGTATCAACCTGCTATGATCTTGCCAAGCTTGCTACCTGGTCATGTGATTTTACACAGTGAGGGGGTTATTATTTCAAATCAAAATTGATTGGACGCATTTATGTTTGCACACCATAGAATAAGATGAGTCAGCAAAAAGTCAATTGTTTTCGAGGAAAAGGAGGAATTTTGACTTAGCAATACAACTATTTAGCATGTAGCAGGAGACAGATAGAATAATCAACATACGGAAATAGAAGTTGGCAGTTCATTTAAATGTGTCTTTAATGATGACTCTTAGCTTCTGGGTTTTTATTAAATGTTATTATAAGACCTGTGCTTTTCCTATAAACACTGAGAACAGCCTGCCATGTCCAGGGTATCAAAGACGTTCCAACCCCATTGTTCCTTCCAGATTCTGTCTAACAGCTGGCAGCAGCCATGTCATCTCTGTACAGCATAAATGGGTTGTCAAACGATATGACAAAGTGATATTTCATCGACTCATACTCTCCGACAGCTGAATCCAAGGCTTTACGGTCCTGGTATATCAGAACACTCTACTTGGGCCTTCCACTGTGGAAGATGGATAATATAATAATAATAATAATAATAATAATGGATCATTAATAATAACCTCCCAGTAGGTTTCATGGAAATAATGATGTAAACTGGTATGAATTGAAGGGAAAATATTGACAAGGATCGGACACTTAATATTAGAGTTGAGCTATGTTAGTCATGTGTTAATTAATGTGTATAGAGCCTCACAATGCTATTGGGTAGTAAATGTGTGTATAGGTCCTGCCCTCTGGCCATACACTCACACAAGTTCCGAATCTTCAAACGAGCAACATCTCTTTGTTTTATTGGACTGGATTTGTCAGATTCAAGTAAGTAAAATGCCTCAAATATTTTTGTGATTATTACAATGTCTAGAAATGTACATATTTAGTTATTGTGGAATACATTCATCACATTTGATTTTGAGCAGCTTATGTCTTTATCGTAATATTACAACACTGGGTCAGTGTGGTAGTCAAAATAGCATGAGCACCTGTCATGGACCACGCCCTTCTATGTTCACATATAGAAATAAAACACTAATAGAAATATAATGTATTTGATAATTCAATATAACTAAGTTCTAAATGTGTCCTCTGTTAAGATTTTGAATTAAGACCAGAATTGAATTAATTAATACATTATTTCTGATAAAAGAATGTGAAATTATATCTGTAGCAATGTTTTAAACCCTACTTGTATCTCATCAGTTAATTCGTTACAATACATTGAACTCTGGTTCTGGCAGAAACAGGGGTGCATGCATTCCTTTTAGTATGACAATAGGCTAATACTTGTCCCACCACCCTATCTATTCCTTCAGGTAATATATTACAATATAATAAGCATACACAGTAAAATCCGGAGTGTTAATTTAACACTTAAAGAGTCAATTTAGTTGTTCAATATATGTATTCAGACAATGTGAGTAGAAATACCGAAATCCTGCTCCCACCTAAGCCCAACGTTGCAATATTACAACATTTCCCTAAAAAAAAAATTATAATGTTTTTCTATATTTAGGCTTTACAGGGTTAATGGATCATATCACTACATTGTCATAGATATGAATTGTACATGTTGTACATTGTACACATCGTGTAGGAAACGTACTCTTATTTTAGCCATGCAGATCACCATATTAGACAGATAATTGTAGGGTAGGGTTGGGAACCGAAAATCGGTTCCAGATGAGAACCGATAAGAAAATGCCGGGTACCGGGTACCCATACAAAATACACAATTTCGGTTCTGCTTAACGGTTCCTAAACCCTGTATTCCAGCGGTTCCGTCTACGCCGCGGCGACCCCGTGGAATTCAGCGGCGGACTGACCATCTGTGTGTTCTGGAGAATCACAGAACGGCTGGTCGTCAGCGGTTGACGGCCGTTGACGGCCGGCTCGGTTCGCTGACGGCCGGCACCGCCCTTAATTAATAAACGGCATCATGTAAGTTGCGCTGACAAGCGACAGAAGTCCACAGTTGCCCCGCAGCGAGGCTCCCCCCGCCCTCCCGTAGACAGTTCACGAGCTCAGTCACTTCATAACACCAAAGATGGGTCGCGGTAAACTCTAAAGTGAGGCTCCACTACACTAAAAAAGAAAAAGACAAGGCACAGTGTAATGCCTGTTAATAGCTTGCCACAGGCATAGCTCAGTTAAAATAAAGCACAGCTATTGTGCAATACATTTGTATTGCATGTAGGGGTGGGCGATATGACGATATATATCGTCGTGACGATATTAGGTCTCCACGATATGCTTTTTCAGAGATATCGTCCTATCGTGATAAAAAAAAAAAAAATAGCGGGAGGGGAAGAGGATCTCCGTGTGCGGCGCAGGGGGCTATGACAGCGGACGGAGAGCCTCTTACCCTCCCGCTCCCCCAGCCTCACCTACTGATTTTAATTTCACCATATATCAAGCCCGATCGATTTCACAATGTCAGCGCACCTCTGCTTTCGTTCAGTCCGAGTTGTTTGACACGCTCCCAAAGTCCCCGCCCCCTTTCTTTGCAGCGGGAAAATACACTGTTGACAGTCTGCACACACAGCAATAATGGACGGAGAGTCAGATTCTGATGTAGAACAATTAGATTTAGTCCCCAAAAAGAACTCTACGTCTGTGGTATGGAAGTATTTTGGCTATAAGACAACAGACACGGAGCAAACAAATGTCATTTGCAAAATGTGCAAACAAGGACATTTCAAAGTGACAGATGGCAACACGTCGGGCTTACGAGACCACCTCAAACGCAAGCACCAGAAAGAGCATGCAGAGACTGTAAGAGTGCAAGGTCCCCCGCGTGTGAATGCACAATCTACCGCAGCGACTGCACCAAAACAAACTACCATAGGTCAGGCATTTCATAAAGGGGCTCCTTATGAAAAGACTAGCAAACGGTGGAAAGACATAACTGACGCGGTGGCGTTTTATGTGGCCAAAGATATGCAACCAATACAGAGCGTGGAAAACAAAGGTTTCGTGAGGCTGATGAAAACAGTTGACCCACGGTACCAGGTGCCCAGTCGAAAATATTTTTCTACAAAGGCCATTCCACTGAATGCCGAGAGAAGGTACAACAGGAAATTCAAAATGTCCAGTTTTTTGCTACAACCAGTGATTTATGGTCTAGCCGCACGTCAGAACCGTATATGAGTCTGACCATTCATTTCATTCACAAGTGGAAGCTGCAAAGCGCATGTCTCCAAACGATATACTTCCCGGTAGACCATACAGGGGAACTAATCGCACATGGCCTAAGGGACTTACTTCAAGGCTGGGGACTGAAAGAGGAGAACATGATCTGCATGACCACAGACAGTGGAGCCAACATGGTTAAAGCTTTGGATCTTAACGCCTGGACTCGCCTGCAGTGCTTTGGTCACAGACTTCACCTGGCCATCGGTGAGTGAAACAAGTATTATATAGGGATGCACCGAATATTCGGCCACCGAAAATTATCGGCCGAAAATGGTTAAAAAGGCCCTTTCGGGTTTCGGCCGAAAGGGTTTTAGCACCGAAAAAATATCACCGAATGTCAGAACAGGCTTACGTTGGTAACCTAACGTGTTGTTGTGATGACGTAATAAAGACGCGGCGACCATGCTCGCGGCTGGCTCACAGGGGGGGGGGGGGGGGGGGGGGGGAACATTGACCTTTGTCATCGAGATTGCCCTGAGCCTTTAACAAATCGTATTAAATACTGTGATGACAGACTGTAAAGAGAATAGCTGAAATTTTAACAAACTAAATAACTAAGTTTCCTCTAATCATTAACCCATGTTTGTATAATGTAGTTAACTCCGTGTGTTGCTGCTAGCATACATAACACCTGACGTGGAAACGTTACTCGTGGATGGAGCTACAGAGCTGCTAGAAAGACGGTCGAACCCGGTACATTCCTCCGTCTGCATGCGGTGCACTTTTGCTAAATGTTTAGACAAATTGCTCGTGCTTACATGCTAA